ATTAGTAAGCATCCACACTACCAAGCACGTTATTTCAGAATAACGGGCCATGGAATTCAAACTCTGCACTCCTGCTTTTCATCAGGAATAATGCTAAGTCCAAACTTGTACGTCTGAAATAACATTAGTGTGGAGGCTCTGGTGCCATTAATTTGAACTAATTAGTCTCCAGGAGGCTCTGGGTCTGACGGAGCGTGTCCACATTAATGGAGCCTGCCTCAGATGACGTTCCATTCTTCCCTGTAGTGAGGACATGCTAGTTTGAATTTGTTAAATCAGGAGTACATAAGTCAAATGTAGTAAATTTGAAATAATTTCCTAGTGTAGCCATGGCCTTCTTGACGTGGAACATGTCTCCTCAGGATGGGCCACAGCAATGCAATTCCTAGACACCATTAATGATTGCTGATTGAAGCAGCTAATCCTGGAACTCACAACGGAGGAGGCAATTCTTTCTTTAGACCTAAATGGCACACAGGATCTGGTTCAAGAGGTGAATGTAGCTGAACACTCAGTAATAGTGACAATAATGTAATTAAATTGAACATCCGCGCACGCGTGCATGTGTGTGTGTGTTTGTGTGTGTGTATGTGTATGTGAAACACCAAAGAGACACACCACAGTAGCATTTAACTTCCAAACAGAGAACTGCACACAAATGAGAGTGGCTCATTTAATGGCAGTCACAAGAGTGAAATGCCTGCAAATTGCATGATTTAAAAAACACTACAACAAAGGCTTAATCTATATGGCTACCCCAAATTAAGAAAAAAAAAATCAGTAAGAGGATCAAAAAGTGCCACCATGGCTAAACAACACAGTAAAAAAGGCAGTGAGAGACAAAAGGAGAGCTTAAAAAAAAAGGAAGTCAAATCCTACAGAAGAAAAAAGAAAGGAGTGTAAAATCTGGCAAGTGAAGTGTAAAAATATTCTTAAAAAGGCCAAAAAAGAATATGAAAAATAATTAGCAAATGACAAAAATGAACAGCAAACTTTTCTTTTAAGCACATCAGAATCAGGAACTCCTCAAGAAAGACAAGGCCATCGCAGAGAAGCTAAATGAACTCCTCACATCGGTCTTCACTAGCTAAAGAGAGAGTCCCAAATCTGACCCTTTCTTTTTAGGTAATGGGTCTGGGGAAGTTTTGTCATTAGAGGAGGTTTTGGAACAAACTGATAAATTAAACAGTCCCTACAACTGGATGGGATTCACCCAAGGGTTCTGAAGGAAATCAGATCTGAAATTACAGAGCTATTCACGGCGGTCTATAACCTATCACTGAAATCAGCCTCTGTACCGGATGACTGGCAGATAGCTAATGTATTGCCTAATTTTTTAAAAGCGCTCCAGAGGCGATCCTAACAAGTCCAGGCTGGTAAACCTCACTTCAGTACCAACAAATTGGCTCAAATTTTAGTAAAGAACAAAATGATCAAACTCATACATGAGCACGTTGGGAGGAGTCAACTCAGCTTTCATAAAGGGAAATCATGCCTCACCAATCTACTAGAATGCTTTGGCGGGGTGGGCGGTGGAGCACCAGCAAACCTGTGAACAAGGGAGATCCAATGGATATTGTGTACTTGGACTTTCAGAAAACTTGGACATGGTCCGGGCTCTTAAGCAAAGTCATGGGGTAAAAGGAAAGACTCCTCATGAATCAGCAACCAGTTGAAAGATAGGGAACGAAGGGTAGGCATAAATGATTAGTTTTCAGAAGGGAGAGGGGTAAATAGTCATGTCCCCAGGCCTGCTGACAGAGGGCAGCTAAGGGAGTAACTGCCCAGGGACCTGGATGATTTCAAAGGACCAGGAGGGGCCCTGCCACTCAGGAGAGACTAGCATGCCTCCTCCTTGAGAGGTGGCAGACGGACACGGGTGGTTCTGGCTGTGCAGGACTCTGGTCGGAGCTGTTTCCTTCTACTCTGGTGAGTGTGTGAAGGCTTCTCTTAAAGTGCCTTGTTTCTTAGATTTCCCCAGCAGCCAGCTCACACAATGTCTCTCTCTCTCTCTTTCTCTCTCACACACACACACACAGGCCTGTCTCTCACACACCCTATTGTTCCTTCTCTCTTTCTCTCATCACCACCCATCTCCCACTGTCCAGTCTGTCTCTACCTCTTACACACACACATTGTCCTGTCTTGTGTCACCCTCACCTCCCAACACATATTTGTATTGATTGTTGTTGTTACTCCTCGGGACTTTCTGCAACACACAGCTGCTCTCTGCCATCGTATTGTTTTTAAGTGTGCCATTTTAGTGTTTTGGTTGGTCTGTGCATGTTGTAACTTTTATTTCTCCTAGGCTTAAATGTAATCTTTTGAGTAGTGAGTTCTACCAGGCCTCAGCTGTCCTAGCTGGAGTGATTATCCCTAGGGTCATTTAAAAATATGCATTTTATTTAGTTTTTTTGTTTCTCCTGGTGGTGCACATCTGCACATGCCTCAGTGCACAGAACAAAATGTGGTCTGCATGTGGATGGAAAAAAATAAGATGGAACATGCTGGCAGTGCAAATATCATAGGGGACCCATTGTCTATTCTGCCACGGGCCTGGAATTACTGTCCATGGCCCTGGGTGTCCCCAGAGGGTCTGTACTGGGACCAGTGTTGTTTGTCACATTAATAAGTGATCTCGAAAAAGGAGTACACAGTGAGTTGGCAAAGTCTGCAGACTAAGCCAACTGTCATGTGTCACAAAGGGAATTCACAAAACCGGGTGGCTGGGCAACACACTGACAGATGAAAGTCAATGTTGGTAAATGCAAAGTAACATACACTGAGAAACATAATTCCAACTCTATGTACAAAAGGATGGGGTCTAAGTTAGCTGTTTCCATTCACGAAAGAGAGCTTAGAGTCACTATAGCTAGTTCTCTGAAAACATCCCCTGAATGGGCGTGGACAGTCAAACAAGCCAGCAGAATGTTAGGAACCATTAAAAAAAAAGAGATAGATAATAAGATAGAAAGAATCATCATTCTACTATACAAATCCATGGTACGCCTTAAATACGGAGTGCTGTTCTGGTAGCCTTGTTTCAAAAAGGATATTGTGGTGGGGTGGACTAGTCCCCAAGGCCCACTGCTGGAAGCTAGAGGCCTTACTGCACCCCGCCGTAGGGTGAAGAGCAGAAGAGAGGTCCTCCACGCAGGATAGAGTGGCCACAGCAGAGGCAACCAATCAGGGCCCAGCAGGCTGATATAAAAGAAGCTGCTGGGCCAGGGCCTGCCAGTTCCTCACTGGGGCTTGACCCAGCCAGATCTGAGCTCTGACTAGGAGGACTGCAGCACCTCGGACAGTGCCGAATGTAAGCTGAACTTTAGACCTGGTTAAGACCTGGGTCCAGAGGCAGAAGACTAGCCACAAAACTTTACGCAACCTGAGACAGGGTGTATTAAGAGCCAGGGAGCAAGGTAGCAGCAGACACTAGAGACTCATAGCAGGCAACTGCTACTTACACGGACCCTGGGCCAGGACCCGGAGGAGTGGGTGAGTCTAGGACCTCCCCACCTGCAGCAAGGAGGTATGAAACCCCCCTCTAGAACTGCTGGGCTGAAAATTGCAGATGTAGCTTTGGCCTCTAAGAGGCGCTCACGGCAAGTGACCCCTTTACAGATATATTAGAATTGGAAAAAGTCCAGCGAAGGGCAACAAACATGATGAGGGGTTTGGAGCAGCTTCTCTAGAAAGAGAGATTAAAAAGACTGGAACAAAATACAGGACTATGTAGCACTTTAAAGACTAACAAGATGGTTTATTAGATGATGAGCTTTTGTGGGTCAGACCCACTTCCTCAGATCAAATAGTGGAAGAAAATATCATGGATGATAGGCTCTGTGACAGTTTTCCCCACCCATGCCGTATGAGAATTGGCTTGCGAATATGAATATGCATAACTTGAAGATGCTTTATGTAAAACAGGCCATGTAACCTATCAACTTTTCAGATGCAGCCTGCTGAATTTGTGTATCCTATTTTTGTGCATGGATCATTCTTGCATGTGAAGTTAGAAATATGAAGTGTGAATCTGTTCATAGTTCTAAATGTGTTAATGAGGACCATTAGTCATATTTCAGGAATTTAATGATTCAGTAATCAAATCAATGACTTGGGAATGGCCTTGTTTGTCCTGTAAGCTAAGACTGTGATTGGTCCTAGAAAGACATGTGACTGTTCCACCTGGTACTTGAATCCATCTTGAACCTGGTATTTTTCCATGGGGACAGGGGTGTGTGTGTGTGTGTGCCAAACAAAGGATTCACACTCTGGGGGAAAGTCTATTTAAGCAATGGGAAGCCCTTTGTCTTCAGCTGGCTTTTGAAACTGCCTGGCCCACCCTAAGAAGACTGTCTGTCTCACCCTACGAAGATACAAAAGAACTCTGTCACACACACACACACACACACACACACACTATCCAGTCTACTCACCTCGAGACACATACTTGTATTTATTGTTGTTATTCCTACTTGGTACTTCCTGCAATGCATAGCTATTCTCTGTCATTTTATTTTTTCAGAGGGTGCTATTTTAGTATTTTGACCAGTCTGTGTGGCTGCCAACAGCTGCCAACATGTGCCGTGCCATCTGCCATTAGCGTGCCAAGGACAAACTGTGTATGAGGGAGCTCTCATCAGAGCCGGGGCTCAGCAAAGCGGAGTCAAAAGAAAGAGGGTTGAAAGCAATTCAAGACAAGCACCCAGGCCCAGCAAAATCCCCTCCAAGTTCACCTTTTACCTACCTTCCCATTCCAGTTCATTCCCATTGCCCAAGAACTCCAGGGAGTCCGTCTCATCTGGGGTTTCGATGTCATCCACATTAATGTCCAGGTCGTCGGGCGTGTCCAGGAAGTCATCCGACAGGACGGAGCCCTCACTCTGGTCCAGGGAAATGTTGATTTCCGGGGCTATCAGCGTCTTGCGCTTCCGATGAACCCCGTTAAAGTTCAAAGTGTTAGGGGGAGCTGCAAGGAAAGAGGAACGTAAGCAACTCAGCCAGATCCTGGCATATGAGCAGCAGCCTCCCACCCTTGTGCACTGCGGCATTTTAGCCCCATTTGAAAGGGGGGTTAAACTGAGGCACAGGAATGTTAAGCCCGTGCCCAAGCCAGGAGTGGAATGCAGGTGTCCTGAGTCCCAGCTCTCTGTTCTAATGAGGCCAAACGCAGCTCCACGTTGGAGGGGCTCCCAAAGTCGGGAATTATTACATTCCACCTTCCTTGCCAAGCTGGGCAAGTTATTAAGCCTGAACTTTCTCTGCTCAAAAGTCTCCGTTCCATTCAGAACATTTGCACTAATATAGTGCCTTTCATTTTTTAAAAAAGGCATTAACTAACTGAGCTTCACAAGCCCCCCAAAACAGGTCAGAAGCACAACCACCATCTTATGGAAGGGGAAACTGAGGCACAGAAAGTCCTGTGTCCACTAAGAAGGAAAGTGAGGTTGAAAATGCTGTTAAAACATGAATAACACTAGGCCGTTTGGGGCTAATGATGCTAGAACCTGTATTTGAGCCTAGTTAAGAAGCTGGATGATTGTTTCCATGCTTTGTTCTCTGGAACCCTGGCACTGACCGATTGGTGATGGTGGTTGGCTGACCCCCACACCTCCCAGAGATGGGGTATTTATTTTTATCATTGTATGATTCTTAGAATACTAGAACTAGACGTGACCTTGAGAGGTCATCAGGTCCAGCCGCCTGCCCTCACGGCAGGACTAAGCATCTTCTATTCTAGATCAGTGTTTCTCAACCAATGGCACGAGTCCCCCTGGGGGTACGCAAAAGAAGTCTGGGGGGGTACGTCAACACAACTGAAATTGGGAGAAAATGGAATTTTTGTTTTAAGTTTTACAGCGCTTTATTATTTTTGTACTTTTTACACCCAAAATTTTCATCACCCACCAGGCTACGATTAAATTGTTTACACAAATGTGTTGCAATGGTAGAAAAAATGTTGTGTGTCTGAAAACTGTAGGTACTGGGGGTACTTACAATTTTTTAAAGGGGTACTTTATAAAACAAAAAGGTTGAGAAACACTGTTCTAGATCATACCTGATAGATGCCTCTCTAAGCTGCTCTTAACTATCTTCAATGATGGAGATTCCACCACGTCCCTAGGCAATTTATTCCAGTGTTTCACCACCCTGAAAGTTAAGAAGTTTTCCCTAATGTCCAATCTAAACCTCCCTTGCTGCAATTTAAGCCCATTGCTTCTTGTCCTATCATCAGAGATTAAGAATAATAATTTTTCTCTCTACTCCTTGTAGCACCTTTTTAGGTACTTGAAAGCAGCTATCCTGTCCTCTCTCAGTCTTCTCTTTTCTAAACTAAACAAACCCAGTTCTTTCAGTCTTCCCTCATAGGTCATGTTTTCTAGATCGTTCATCATTTTTGTGGCTCTTCTCTGGACCGTCTCCAATTTCTCCACATATATTTGAAATGTGGTGCCCAGAACTGGACACAATACTCCAACTGAGGCCTAATCAGCGCAGAGTAGAGCGGAAGAATGACTTCTTGGCTGTGTCTAGACTGGCATGAAGTATTTCCACAAAAGTGCATCTAGATTGGCATGGATGTTTTTGCGCAAAAGCATCCGTGGCCAGTCTAGACGAGATTTTGTGCAAGAAAGCCCCGATAGCCATTTTAGCCATCGGGGCTTTTTTGTGCATAACAGTTCTTCCCTGTCTACACTGGCCCTCTTGCACAAGTATTCTTGCACAAGAGGGCTTTTTCCCGAGTGGGAGTGTGAAAATATTTGTGCAAGAAGCACTGATTTTGTACATTACAAAGTCAGTGCTCTTGCGCAAATTCAAGCGGCCAGTGTAGACAGCTGGCAAGTTTTTGCGCAAAAGCAAAATCATGCCAGACTAGATGCACCCCTTGTGTCTTGCTCACAACACTCCTGTTAATGCCTTCCAGAATCACGTTTGCTTTCTTTGCAACAGCGTCACACTGTTGACTCAAATTTAACTTGTTGTCCACTATAACCCATAAATCCCTTTCTGCCGTACTCCTTCCTAGACAGTCACTTCCCATTCTGTATGTGTGAAACTGATTGTTCCTTCCTAAGTGGAGCACTTTGCATTTATCCTTATTAAACTTCATCCTGTTTACCTCAGACCGTTTCTCTTGTTTGTCCAGATCATTTTGAATTTTGACCCTATCCTCCAGAGCACTTACAACCCTTCCCAGCTTGGTATCATCTGCAAACTTAATTGTATTATCTATGCCATCATCTCATTGATGAAGCTATTGAACAGAACTGGTCCCAAAACAGACCCCTGTGGAACCCCACTTGTTATGCCCTTACAGCATGATTGTGAACCGTTAATAACGACTCTGAGAACGGTTATCCTGCCAGTTATGCACCTACATTAGAGTAGCCTCATCTAAGTTGTATTTCCCTAATTTATTGCTAAGAACATCATGCGAGACCATATCAAATGCCTTACTAGAGTCTAGGTATACCATGTGCACTGCTTCTCCCTTATCCACAAGACTTGTTATCCTATCAAAGAAAGCTATCAGATTGGTTTGACATGATTTGCTCTTTACAAATCCATGCTGGCTGTTACCTATCACTTTATTGTCTTCCAGATGTTTGAAGATGAATTCCTTATTTATTTGATACATCATCTTTCCTGGTGAAGTGAATTAAACATCAGCCTGTGATGAGGGAATACCTGTGGTCTCAGTCTGGCTCTGCCACTGATTTCCATGCAGGACCTTTGCCCTGTCACTTGTTCTTGCAAATCCTTTCTATTAAGCTAAACATGCCTTTCTTCGCCTAGGAGAAATCTAACTTCAGCAGCCAACCCCAACGAAAGCTGCAGAGATCAAAGCACAGGGCTGAACAGAACAACTTTTACTGAATGGATAAACTAACCTGAGCAAGTGAAGGAACAAAGATGTTTGGGGCCACTAATGTCACCATCTTTTTGTTTTATGCGTATGCAGCACCTAGCACAACGTACAGTGCCCAGTCCTAAAAACATAAGAACATAAGAATGGCTGTACTGGGTCAGACCAAAGGTCCATCTAGCCCAATAGCCTGCCTGCCGACAGTGGCCAGCACCAGGTGCCCCAGAGTGGGTGGACCGAAGACAATGATCAAGCGATTTGTCTCCTGCCATCCCTCTCCAGCCTCTGACAAACAGGGATATTTCTATCCCTTGGCTAATGGCCTTTTATGGACCTAACCTCCATGTAATTATCTAGCTTCTCATGAGTCCTGGCCCATGACTGGACTCCTAGCTGTCACAGCAATGCAAATATCACATATTAACAAGGATTGCTCTTGTGGATTCCTATCCTCTCCCTGTTAAACAAATGCTGAATAATATTCTGGCTGTGTTCAGGGAGGGAGCACAACCATTGTATTTGCTCTATTCCGTAGAATGAGGTGTGGCAAAGCTCCGTCAAATAATTGCAATGAGCTTTCCAGCCTGAACTCTGCTGTGCACTAAGTCAATTATGGCAGCAATTGCTCAGCTTATTAATGAGCATCTGGCTTTTCAAAATCTTCCTCCTGTTTTGCAGCAATTCATGTTGGCTGCGGGCTCAGCTGTGTCCCAGGCTGGGTGTCAGCTGGACGGAGGCTCTGGGACGTCCCACTCAACCCTCCCCAGGAAGTCGGGGTAGGAGTCAATGGGTGTCCATGGCGCCTGTGGAAATTCTTCTTCCCCCCCGCTTGTCGTGAATCTGCAACACTCGCATGTTGTTCTCGGTTTGGCAAGATTTTTTGCGCAAGACTTGAAGGTGTGAAAGTAGAAAGAATTATACTGTAAGAGAAAGATGAATTATGCTGTAATAATTGAGTAAGTTGAAGGAATACTGTTAGTCTCTGAACAGGAAGAAGAAAACGTATGTTAATGTTGGTTGTAGGTATGCAGATCAGAGTGCTAGCCAGGAAGGCCTGAGATAATAGGAAAAGGAACATTAGGTATTAGGCAGAAAGTAATTGAGATAACCAGGGAGATATGGACAGGAGATTGCTGTGTGCTTGATGTGGAAATGAAGATACTTGACTAGTCTCATACTAATCATGTGAAGTTTTGCCACCTTTTAATCTTGTTAAGTTGGCTTTCTTTTGACTGCATAAATCTAAGGAGTTTGAGCCTTGCATGGTACTCACATTTTCTGGGTGCATTTAGCAGAGCAGCTTTGCTAATAAACAGAGCGGCCTGACAAATCTGAGTGAGTCCTGTCTGACTTTGACAAAGGGAATTTGGCCCAACCTGCTGCCCAGTAAAATGCCCTCTCCCAAGCCCAGCGAGGCCAATCTGATACTTACAGGACGTGTGCTCGTCTTCTGTGGGGATGCCCAGGGAGTCCATGCCTGTCTCTTCCGGGAGGGGTCTGCCAGTCAGCCGAAGCAAAGGGTCCAGAGGCCCAGGTGCGGACGCAAAGAGGGCACAATTAGCAGGACTTGCCACTATTAAGTCCATTCATCCCAGTGCCCTGGGGTTTGCAACAACTATCTTTACCATCGTATTTACCAATCCCACCGTTCCAACTCAAGGTACATCACCATTGGAAAAAGCCACCCACCCACTCCAACACCAAACAGGACAGAATCAGATTCACATGTCAATTACACCTGCAGGGCTGACTCTACCATGAGGCCAACTGAGGTGACTGCCTCAGGTGCCAGACTGTTGGTGGGGAGGGGAGTGTCACTGGGACCCAGAGGGTGTGTCTTGACTACACCTCTTTGTTGACAGAGAGATGTAGATTAGGCATGTTGAAATTGCTAATGAAGCCTGGATTTAAATATCCGGTGCTTCATTAGCATAAACATGGCTGCCGCTTTTTTTCAAAACGGAGCTTTTTCGAGGCAAAAATGGCAGTCTAGATGCGGATTTGTCGAAAAGAAACCCTTTTTTGACAGATCCTGTAAACCTCATTTTTGGAGGAATACGGGATCTGTCGAAAAAGGCTTTATTTTCCACAGATCTGCGTCTAGACTGCTGTTTTGTTTCCAAAAAGCTCCGTTTAGGAAAAAAAGTGGCAGCCATGTTTATGCTAATGAAGCGCCGGATATTTAAATCCTGGCTTCATTAGCAGTTTCGATGTGCTTGATTTGCATCCCTCTGTCGACAGAGGGATGCAGTCTAGACATAGCCAGAGTGTAGAAAATTATGTCTGCTGCTGGTGCATATGTAGGGAGCAGAGCAGTCCCATGAGAGCAGTAAAACAAGAAGAAGGCAGAATTGAGACCTTTCAAAGTTTTGGCCCACGTGAGGAAGCATGGGGGCATCATTTGAGCTCCTCCCCACCTCAGATGCCAAAATGTTGCGGCCCAGCCCTGGCCGCCTGCCACCCTGCTTCCTAGCAAAAGAGGACAGTTCCCTGGGGTTGCAAAGGAGCGAATTGGAAAACGGTCATAGGTGCCAAAAGCTCTGAAGTGCACCCCAAAAGGGGCAAGAGAAGACAATGGGACCTGTTGCATGTCCAAAGGAAGTAGCTGCTGAAGGACACCAGGAAGGGCTCTGGAGTGAGAGAGACCTCATCCAAGACTGGATCAAAATAAATCTAAGGCTTGAGAACAACAAACCTACTTTGGCCGACCCTGACTGCCGGCAGGGCCGTAGGGTAGGCAAAGGCCTTCAGGGGTTTAGGGCCTGGGTGTATCAGAAACTTCTGAAGCTAAAATTTGCTGCTGAAATCATAGAATCAAAGAACACTAGAACTGGAAGGGACCTTGAGAGGTCATCAAGTCCAGCCCCCTGCCCTCATGGCACCCTCTAGATCATCCCTGACTGGTGTCTGTCTAACCTGCTCTTAAATCTCTTCAGTGATGGAGATTCCGCAACCTCCCCAGGCAACTTATTCCAATGTTTAACCACCCTGACAGTTGGGAAGTTTTTCCTAATGTCCAACCTAAACCTCCCTTGCTGCAGTTTAAGCCCCTTGCTTCTTGTCCTAAATATGAAGCTGCTGTTCAGTTGACTTTGCCTTATGCACGGTGCCGCACGTCCCATGGAGTGATTGGTCTTCCCAGGGCAGATGCTCTGAGAGCACCACGGGAAAATGTACCAGTTCTACACCCGTTCTCTAATGCACCTTTGGGTCCAAGTGCATTTCAACCGGACAGACCAGCGGCACTGAGTCCATGGAACCGACAGGTGGTTTGCCTAGGAACAACCTAATCAACGTCCATTTATTTTTATAGCATTTTGCATCACCAGGTGCTTCAGGAACGACCTCTATAAACCCCCCTGCCACCGAGCACATCGCCGTGAAATGCAGCCACTTCTGGGTGGACGCAAGGCAGCAGCCAGACACAGAGCTGCCACCCAGCAAGGAGAGTGGATGTTTTAGCCAAGGGCGCTACTAGAGGTATCATAGAATAACTGTTTAATTGGCTAACCAATGAGCATGAGCATATCGGTTACCGCAACTGTTACATATCAGCTCCCTGCCCCACTCCCAGGGAGCTGCCTACCCACCCGCGCTTTATCAGAGCCCACAGCATGGGGTGGCAGCCAGCTCCCTGGGGGCCAGGTAGAAGCTGGGAGCTGGGTGCGGGGCTGGGAGCCAATATGTGCTGAGAAACAGCTTAAAAACCAGCTTCTGGCACGCACCAGCTCCCAGGGAGTTGGCTGCAGGTGGGAGCCGGTGCATGCCAGAGGGCTGGCTGTGCTGCCGGCTCTGTAGTACAAGCTTTACACATGAGGAACCTCCCCAGTGGGAAACCCTCATTTCTCATCCTCCGAAATCTCCCCTTTGCCAGACATACAGATGGGCTGTTGACAGACAGGGGAGCCCAGCAGAGCTGCTGCTGCTGGCAGACCTGTTCCCTCCCCTGGTTGGCGGATTCTTGCAGGGAGGGATTCTTCGGTCATTCTCACTATTGCACGGTACCGGACGCCCTTGTTTCCTTGTCCATTTTGGTCAATTTCACCGTCACAGAATTAAAAAAATCACAAACGTTGCGATTTTGAATATTTCAGTTGGAAATCTTGTGGCGCTGTCATCGTAGGACTCCTGATCCACAAAGAAATCACAGGGGGTAGGGGAGGGTTTTCTTACTTCCGCGCTGCCTTCAGAGTTGGGTGCCCAACCAAGAGCCCCTGGCTGCCGGAGCACCCCCCCCCCCCACACCCTGACCCCCACTGCCGCCAGGGACTCTCCCCAGCAGACCCGCTGCAGCCCAGGACTCCCACATTCCGCATGGGCCGTGTGATGACTACACCTGGATGGGACCATGGTGCTATTTTTAGCACCACCACCCCGGCCCAGGATCAGCTGCACTATTGCTCCGGCAGCAGTCCCGGAACATGGGGCAGCCACCCATGGGAGCGGCTGCGGCTGCAGCTGCAGCTGCGGCTGCGTGGAGTCTGCTGGGCCCAGGACTGCAGACTATTTTTAGTACCCCTGTATGGGCCCTAGCAGCCGCCAGGCAGCCACGGCCCCAGCTGCTCCCAGGGATGTGGCCATGTGCTGGGTGGCTGGAGCCAGGACTATTTTTAGTACCGTGTCCCAGGGAGTAGCTGGGGCCTCAGCTGCATGGCGGCTGCTAGGGCTGGGCCTGCGGCTGGGGCCATGGTGCAATTTTTAGTACAAGGGCCCAGGCTTCAGCTCCTGGCTGTTGTGTCATGGCTGCCCAGCTGTTCCTGGGATGGGGCAGCCACCTGCCACATGGCCCCATGTCGCTGTGGCTGTGCAGCTCTGCTGAGGAGGTGGGCAGGTCTGAAATTTTTGGGTAGGACTGAAATTTTTCCTGAGAGGGAACCCCCTGCCTGTAGCCCATTCCCAGCCCCTGACCTCACAGAACAAGGCCACAGCCCCAGAAGCAAAGGTTTTCGGTTTCTGACATTCACTTCTCGCAGCCCTGTGGGCTGGAAAAGTCACTTTTCAGCAAGTGGGGTCCTGCTAGCGGGAGGGGCTGAAATCCCAAGGAAGAGGGAAGCGTTGCTTTCAGGGGCAAGTCACGGGGCTGGATTCTGCGCTCAGACACGCCGGTGCCGAGTCCTGCATCATTCCGAGGAAGCCAGCGGGTCAACGCTGCTGTTAGCGAGATCAGAATCTGGTCCCCATCTGAGAAGCAACACTTCTCCCCCGTCCGTGTGTCGTCTGCCCAGCTGCACTACCCTGGCGGATGCTGCACGGTACTCTGAAGTCCATGATGCTGTGCCAAACTGCAGGCTGTGGTCCTTAGCCCTGGTGTCCACTAACCCCGGGTATGTCTACACTACCCTCCTAGCTCGAACTAGGAGGGTAATGTATGCATACCGCACTTGCTAATGAAGCCCGGGAAATTCAAATCCCGGGCTTCATTAGCATAAGCGGGGAGCCGCCATTTTTAAATCCCCGCTGCTTCGAACCCCGTGTAGCGCGGCTACACGGGGCTCGAAGCAGCGGGGATTTAAAAATGGCGGCTCCCCGCTTATGCTAATGAAGCCCGGGAAATTCAAATCCCGGGCTTCATTAGCATAAGCGGGGAGCCGCCATTTTTAAATCCCCGCTGCTTCGAACCCCGTGTAGCGCGGCTACACGGGGCTCGAAGCAGCGGGGATTTAAAAATGGCGGCTCCCCGCTTATGCTAATGAAGCCCGGGAAATTCAAATCCCGGGCTTCATTAGCAAGTGCGGTATGCATACATTACCCTCCTAGTTCGAACTAGGAGGGTAGTGTAGACATACCCCCCGACTAGAACTGGCGTTCCAGCTCTCTGAATATTGCATACCTGAGAGGAGGAGGGAGAGACTTTACACGATTTTGCAGCTCCCATTGGCTGGTTTCTGGCCAATGGGAGCTGTGTGTGAAGTACCCCTCCCCTCTCTGGGCTCACAGAGTTCAGAGCCACACCTGGCCCCTGCAGCTGGTGTAGGGGCATGGAAGACAGGGAGACTGGCTGATGAACCCACTGGGCTGCAGGAGCCACCCAGGTTACCACCTCCGGGCCAGAACCTGCCTCTGGCATCCCAGTCCCTCCCGCTCACAACCCCCTGCCTCCCTCCTGCATCCCTGCCCCTCTCAGACCATGCACCCCAATCTCCTACACGCACCCCCGCACCTCAATCCCCTACACCGCCTCCTGCATCCCTACTCCTCCCAGACCCTGCATCCCAAGCCCCTATACGTCTCCTGCACTCCTGCCCCGAGTTCCAATTCCCTCCTTGACCCCGCACCCCCTCCTACACTCCTCTCCAGGTCACAGCCTCCTCCCACAACTTACACCCTGATCTCCTATCCCCGGTCACAACCCAGATCCCTGCAGCACTCCCCTGCACTCCTGCCCCAGGTCACAACCCCCTCCCTCATCCACGTCCTCCCAGAACCCACCCCCTCTCCTGCACGCCAGTCCCTTCCCCAAGCTCCCTTCGGCACCCACCCTCCATCACGATCATGGAAGAGCGCCGCCCTTGGCCACTTATCAAATTCTTGGAGTGGCCTCCCTCCATCAAAAATGATCGCCCGGCCCTGCACTAAGTGGTGCTTGGGAGGGGCTGGCGTAGGAAGCTTTGCAAGTTCGGGGACTGAGCCCCACAGAACGGGTCCATCTCAGAGCCACCTGGGGTCGTTCCACTGGGTCCATTCAAGCAAGGGGGACAGACTGCGCATGCCCCCCCAAACCTCCAGAGCCTCCCTGCGACCCGCCCACGCCGTCACAACTCCCTGTCAAATGAAAGGCGAGACACATTGAGATGAAGGGAGAATCCCCTTGGAGCCAGGCTGTTGTATGTTAATGAGGCTGTTGTATGTTAATGAGGCTGTTGTATGTTAATGAGGCACACTGGCCCTGCCTCCAAGGTCCGACACAATAGCCAGCAGACAGCGGTACCCTAAACTGGCAAGAAATAAGAATATTCCCAGAGCAGGGCAAAAAATCCACAGGGGACGGATGGAGACATCCCCACCCCCACCACACACACACACAGACACACAGACATGGACAGACACACCTGTTGCCTCCCTGTTCCCAGCTATTAGCGAGCCAGAGAAAAGTTATGCCTGGGGGGGAGGGAAGGGGTGGAAGGGGGGGGTGCTTTTAGGGTGCTGGGGCTTAGAGCGGGGGCGCTTCATTGGTACTCGTGACCTTCCACTCCCCCGAGTTACCTAGGATCATGCCCAGTGACCCCAACACACCCACCCTCCACGCACACACAGACACACACATACACGGACAGACACACCCATCCTCTTTGCATGCGTGCACACACACACACACACAGACATACCACACAGACACACACAAACAGATACCCCCTGCACTACACACACAGACATAGACACACACAGGCATGCACACAGATACAGACACAGACACAGAGACAGACAGACAGACAGACACACTAACTAACTAACTAACTAACCAACCTTCTTTCCTTCTTTCTTTTCTCCCTCTCTCTGACACAGAAAAGCCACTAGGCTTGGGTGTATCAAAATGCCCTTTGCCGGGGGGCTCGGGGATTTACCGTGCAGGTGAGGGATCTCAGAGCCTTTCCATTTAGCAATTCAGTCTGTCTAGTGGGGGGAGGGGGTGTCTTCCTTACCTTCCCGAAGGATGCTTAGCCTGCTAACTCCTGGTTCCTAAGGCAAAGTCTTTCCTTGGATTTTCCTTCCCACACAGCTAGCTCGACCACCTGTCCCTTTTCTAGCATTTCCTCAATACAGCTGCTTTTCTAAGGGTCGTGGGCCACCATTTTGCTCGGCACTGATCAGCTGGTGGCCAGTGGCACCGTATAAGGCCCGTGCTGTCAGGCAGCGAACAGCCTGAGTCTCTCTGCGCGGTGATTAGATGGATGCCGGGGACACAGTGAGCATGCTCCTGCCTCCACCCCCCCGGCCTCGCCCCCCCCCGGCCCTGCCACAGCATCACTGCAGGACCGGAGTCACACAAGCAGCAGAGCCAAACTGTAGCCAGGAGATTAAACCTTCCGGGAAGGGAGGCGGGCTCTCCTCTACTTGGATCCTTCCCTGCCTGCATGACGGAGCCCTGCCCTGTGGTGCAGCCGCGGGGACCTCCCCTTTGCGAGCAGGGACCAGGAAACTCATCCCCTGAACCGGCTGCCCACGGGGAACGTTCGGGCCCTGCAAGGGGCTGAGTTCGCTGGGATCTTCGTGGAGATGCCGTGGGAGCCAGATGGGTGAATGGCAGCTGAGCAAATACAATTACGCAGCACGTCGGCCGGCAGCGGGAACTGGGCTCAGCCTCGGGCCTGTGTGACTTGAGTTCTCAGGTGAAACGAGCTTCACATGCAGACGCCCACGCCGGCGGAATTCTGCCAGCCCGGCCGGGAGCGCACGTGGCAAGTGATTGGCTGGGTTGGGTCTTATTTAACATGAAAGACTTTCCCTGCTGAAGCCGCTGACCCACAGGAAAGTCAGCCGGGGGCCGCACACAAACTAGAATAAAAAACCCAACCAAACCCTCACGGAGGAGCAGAAAGACCCTCCCCACTTTCCCCTCACGCACCAGAGCCAAGAGGGGCCGGGGTGGGCGATTTTGTGTGCTCCAGCCCCACAGGAGGGTGGCAGGGGCTGAGCACCAGTGCAGCCTCCCCAGTGCTGGTGTGGGAGCCCTGGGCCTGGATCCAGGCAAGCCAGGGGCCACACCGGGCCTCCAGGCCTTATGTTCCCCACACCGTCCTATGCAATGGGGGGAGTGTGGGTTAATGGGCGGGCCTGGGGCGGGGGAAGGGGAGTTGGCATTCAGGACCCACTTCTGCTGATTTGCTGCACGGCCTGAGATATGTCACCTCCGTGCCCTGCGTTTCCTGGTGCGCGATACGGAACCGCCTTAAGATCTAAGGGTGAAACCGAATAGCCGTGTGATTATTATTAGCCAGCGAGTTTGCTGCAACTGAAACAAGAGAGCCTTGCGGCTCCCCGCACCGACATAGCAGCGTGACCTCGTGGCTAGTGCACTGGCCTGGGACTCAGGAGACGTGGGCCTGTGGGCCACAGTTGTACAGCACCGTGCACAAGGGGGGCGGGGCGCCACGCGGCGGGGGTCCCAGTCTTATCATTTGTCGTGGCTGCTGCCCGGTTGTGCAGCAGGTCTCCGGCTCGGGGCTAGCTTGCTTTCTCGGCTCTTTTGGGGCCCTGAAATAAACGAGGGCGGTTCCCATCTTCTAGACGGGCTGAGTCTCACTCTTGTGTGCGGGGAGGCCGACACGTGGGCCCCAAGGAGCGGGGTGCCAGGGGCTGCAGACAACGGGGCTTAGATTCGCCCCACAGCTGGGCCTTGCCAGAACAGAGCCAAGCTGATCCGCCGACGGCCAGGCGCACAGGAGCGCTCAGACGACAGCTCGGCCTTGCCAAGGGACAGCCCGGAACAGCCCGACTCGCACAGTGGGCCCACTGTGCTGCGAACACAGGGGGGCTGTCGCGCCGGCGGTGGGAGTTCCGCCGCAGCTGGGTCCAAAGGATGGCAGCTTGAAAGGCAGCCTCACAGCCTTTGGGTACCAGCGCGCCTCCCCATTCAACAGCGCCAGCTGCATCCCCTCCTGGCGTGGAGCTGGGTCCCGGGGGAGCCAGGTGCCGGTGACAGGCTGAAGACTGGAGCCGGGGGAGGTGGGGTCTATGCAACATTGCAGATCGGGTGGGAGCAGAGGCACCTCTGTCCTTCTCTATATGGCTGTCTGACAGGTGTGGGGGAGGGGAAAGGGGGGAGGATTGTCGTTAGGGCCCGATTCTGCAACTCATAAAGGCATCGTGTAGCACTGACTCGCCCGAGTCCTGCCATTGAATTCAATCAAGCCTCTGGGCTGTTCCCTTGAGTAAGCTGCTCAAAGAAGAGCTTGCGGGAGGCTTTCTTTGAGATGCTCCCTGCATCTTAGACGGGCGCTGGGGCACATGTAGCTCGGCTGTGACCACACTCCCCCCCGGTATCGGAGTGCCCAAAGGGGTGTGAGGGTGACAGGAGATTATTGCCACCGAAACGTTTTCGGAAGGGCAGCGGCATCCCTGCTTTCTGACCACTGCTTTGCCTGAGCGTTGCCAGAACCCGCCCCGTGACCCAATCGCCGCCAGGTAACGCTTCCCCTGCCGTTCGCCGCGGCTTTGCCGGAACCGACCTGGGAAAGTCCTCGTCTTGCCACTCCTCCTTCACGTCCACGTTCTCCATCCGCAGCGTGGCCTCCGTGGTGCCCATGGCGAGACCGGGGTTTGGGCTGGAACAGGAGACACAAGCGCGTTGGCCCCCGGCGTAAAGCCGTCAGGAGCTGCAACCCATTCTCAGCCCCTTGCAGGGGCCCGGGGCTTTGGTGTGGTCTGTTCCAACAGCAGTCGCCATTTGGAAAACGTAGCTCCCGATGTGGGTCAGTGTGTGCATGTGCTTGTGTGTCTGTGTGTGTGTGAAGTGTTCAGTGGTGACGTGACTATAGAGCCTCTCTCCCTAAAGCACAGTGACTTTACAAATGCAGGAACCAGTGGGCGTGGTGTTGCGGAGATATGAATAAAAGCCATTCTGCTGAGCCTGGCGCGTAGGTTCCGTGTAAAACGTGACCACCGCACACGGCTTCTCAATCACCCGTTGTGACTCTCGCGCACTGGTCCCCAGGGACCCACCATGTTCAGTGCATAGGCTCGTCGGTCAGGGTTTATCCTGCCGTACTAACAATGGCAACCGACACGCTGGGCAGTGGGAATGCAATGCAGGCTGAAAGGGCCACAACGCACGATCAGTTTCAGGCCATGGGGCAGCGTCACTTGTGTTCATTTTGCTCTCTCTGGTGGGTGCTGATGTTGCCTGTTGCACAGAGAAACGCCAGGGCGATGCTTTGTGCTGAGACCCGGTGAAGGGCTTGTTTCCAAAGGAAGGCGTAGGAGGCCTTCTGGGAGGAAGACACTGGTTCTTCGTCATGCAGGCAACACACCTGGGTTCGTCCTGTGGCTCTTGTCACATACTCTGAGTCCCGTTTTTATGAAAACAGATGTCAAACCCATGGGGGGCCCGGCTGCGCATGGGCCTGGCTCTGCACATGCTTGAGACCCGGTGAAGGGCTTGTTTCCAAAGGAAGGCGTAGGAGGCCTTCTGGGAGGAAGACACTGGTTCTTCGTCATGCAGGCAACACACCTGGGTTCGTCCTGTGGCTCTTGTCACATACTCTGAGTCCCGTTTTTATGAAAACAGATGTCAAACCCATGGGGGGCCCGGCTGCGCATGGGCCTGGCTCTGCACATGCTTCCATGTGGTTTGTACTGAGGCAACTCCACGGAGTCCAGTGCAGCCACTCGTGAGCCACGCCAGTGCAAGTGACGGCCAAAATCAGCCCCACGAGATCGACTTCTCCTTCCCATCTAGGCCTCTGGGCCGTGCTACGGGACTTTCAGAGTAGGGTTGCCAGATACTTTCACAAAAAATACGGAACATGGTGGGGAAAAAATTGGTTGAGCAAAACAAAAAAAAGGGGGAGATGGGGATCCAAGTTATTGAACAAAAAAATACGTGCCCGGTATTTTCTGTTTTTTTTAATTGGACAAAGGCCGAAAATATCGGGCTGTCCAGGCCAATACCGGACACCTGGCAACCCTATTTCAGAGAGACTGTGGCCGCCTCGCACGCTGTGATACAGCTGTCAGTGAGAGAACTATTCTTTATTCCTCGCATGCCTAAAGTCAGTAGGAGTCGAGCGTGGGCAAGACCCCTCCGTTGGCTGGATTTTATTCCCGTTGAACTCAATGGCTGCGGAGTGTAAAGGCATCAGGATTAAGCCCTGGCAGCGCGAGGTTTCGGACGGTGCCCGCACAGGAGAGCAGTGGGCGCGGAAGGTGCTTGAATGTTCCGACCGCATCCAGATACAAACCCCATGTCTGCGTGGGCAGGGACGGGCTAAACCGGGGCCTGTTTTGAACCCAGCGGGTCAGATCCCGGTCTCTGTTACACCCGCGGAAGGCCCGAGTGACCCGGCTACAGCCAACTCGATGCTGTTTGGGAAGCCGCTGCTCTGACCTGGCCTAAGCAGGCTTGTCCTACCTCAGCAGGGCCTCCATGATGAATGGGAGGGAGACAAGGCTCTGCCTGCAGGCTGCTTTAAGGGGCTGAGGCTCAGCAGATGGCTAGAGCTGTCCTGTGTTTCTATTTACTGCAGACATGGCCAGAGGTGGGAGCCAGCCCCGGGGGAGGCCGGCAGGGAGCTGTGTGGCGAAGGGTTACCGCGTTCTCCTCCCCTCTCCCTCTGCCCGCACGGCGCTTCCTGCATTACGTATTTTTCTTTCTCTTGGTGCATTGCCGGCTGCGCTGCCAGGGCAGGAGCATCTCTGTGCTAAGGGACGATTCCCGAGCGTGCAGGAATGAGCGATGCCCCAGGGCCCACACAGATCCTGGGCACGTAACTCCCCTTCCACAATCCCTTCACAGCACCCTGGAGAAAAACCAGCGTCGGTGTCTCCATCGCCAACCCCGCAGAATGGGAGCACGGACGCCGCCGGGGACTTACCGTCTCTGCGTCTCCTCTTGCTACTGGGGAATAAAGGAGCTGTCGGCTGTATTCCAGCTTGGCATGCCTCCTCCAGTGGCAGCGGGCTCCTTAAGACATCCAGAACTGGCATAAAAATACCGCCGGGCCAGGCTGTCGCAGCTGGGGGACGGGGAGACGCATCAGGGCCGGCCGTGCGCTTTGGAAATGGATGGCAGCGGCTCGTCTTCTCTGAATGCTTCCCCCCCCGCCGCTGCTCGCTCTGCCTCAGAGATACTGGATTATGTGCAGCTCACAGCTGGCTCAACCCCAGCTCCCTTCAGACAGCTAATTGCACCGCTTTTGTGTGCCGGGAAAGGAGGGGGGTGGGCGGGTAGAGAGCTCATGACGTAAAGTGCCCGCCCTCCTTTCAGAGCCACGGCTCCTCTGATTGGCTATAGAAGGATATCTCCACAGCTGCTTCCCTGGCATCCTGAGCATCCTCAGTAGGATCAGGCCCAGGAAGAGAGGGGCGGGGTGAGGCTGTTTAATGTGGAGCATCATTGGCTAAGGAAAGGCAAAGTGGAGTGGTCCAAGGCAGGATCTCAGGACCAGTCTAACAGCAGGGAGGGGGCTCCTTGCTGCTGGGAGCTGGCGTGGGGCTGGCTGGGGGGGGCTTTTGGGGAAGGGGGTGCAGGGCCCCAGAGGGGTTTGGAGGAGCTGAAAAGAATCGGCTTTGAGGAAGGGGGAGAAGGGGGAGGCAGGTCGGTGCAGACGCAGCCCAGGGCAGATGGCAGGTGGAAAGGCACCAGTGGAAGGCCTAGTCTGGGGGGTTTTCAAAGGGGTCTAGTGTGTCCAAACCCCGCTGTCAAGGGGCAGCCAGGGCCTGATTCCCTGCTGACACAAATCCCTGCTTCTCTTCCAGCCTTGCCTCAGGCTCCTGGGAGAGGCTGTGCTGAATGTCAGGGGTCCCTTCTGCCGGGCACACGCCTGCCGATGAACCATTATTACGGCTGATTGTTTGTAGCCCTGTCGGGCCCTGGAGCCCCCGTCACAGACCAGGGTCCCTGGGCTGGACAGGCACCAAGACCAGAAGATCATCCTGCCCCGCAGCTACGGACAGGCTCCCGGCTACCTGCATCCAGCACGTTTGTCATCTGAGCTCACGCATCCTGCTCTTCTCTCCTCGCTGCATCCTCCAGCGAGATGATACAAGACGCGTCCGGAACAGCGGAGCAGCTCTGGTCCCCCAGACCAGGCACCGGCACAGGCACGCAAGGGCTGAGGAGAAGCAGAGCAGGAATAGCTCCATGAGGCGGGGTGGGATGCCGAAGACGGGTTGGACCGGGCTCCGCTCCTCTATGCCACGTGCTTGCTCCTCTTTCTTTGTGCATAGGCTTGGTGCCAACCCCACAGTGCACAGCCCCGAAGTCCTCGGTGGCTCTGCTGGGTTGAGGGTTTCTCTTCAGCTACGCTTCTGAGGCTGTTGGGATTTCCCCTGTGTGCGGGCGAGTGGCCAGGGTGAGCTGGAGGCTTTGGGGGCAGAGATATGGCAAGAGCTCATGACGGAAAGATTTCACTGGAGGAGCGAAGAGAGAGAGGAAGTCACTCGCGAAGCAGGACTCTTTCTGGTGTGACTTGGCTCTTCACACAACATTAATCCTAACCCATAGTTACAGCTGAGCTGGTTCCAAATAAAAGCCCTCCATGCAGTACTAGGGCCCAGGTACACAGACACAACAGTGCCTGGTGAGGTTTTGGTGGCTTCTGCAGGAGAAGACGAGGAAACTCACAGAGTATTTAAAAACAAGGAGTGGTCCTGTGTATTGGAGAGACTAACCAAAATACGTAGAATCATGAGCTTTCGTGGGCAAAACCCACTTCATCAGATGACTTGGAGTGGAAATAACAGAAACCAAGATACAGATTTAACAGCGGAAGAAGTACCAATCTATTGTAAGACCTGTGTTAATGAGGCTAATTAAGTGGGCTGGATGTGACCCATACATAACTTTGGATGTGGAAATGCAGGTGTTAATGGCAGGAGAAAATGGCTTTGTAATGCGCCGACCAGTTAATGCGTACTCCTGTAGCATCTTATCTCCGGTCTACACTAGGGAGTTATTTCGAAATAACAAGCAGAATGTCCACACTACCAAGCCTGTTATTTCGATATAACGGACTGGTTATTTTGAAATAATAACGCCTGCTTTCCTTGAGGAATAAGCTTATTTCAAAACAGTTATTTTGGGAGTTATTATTTCGAATGTAGTTATTTTGAAATAATTTCCTAGTGTAGACATGTCTCTAAAAACTAACAAAATATATATACAGTATCATGAGTTTTTGTGGGCAAAACCCGCTTCTTCAGATGAGCTGGAAGCAGGAGGAAGTGGGTTTTGCCCACAAATGCTCATGATTTTATATATATTTGCGTTAGACTCTAAAGGTATGTCTACACTGCATGGCTATTTTGGGATACTGGAAGTATCCTGAAATAGCTACCCCATGTCTACATAAGCCACCCGTTATTTCGAAATATTGGGGGCGCTTTCACCATTCTGGTAAACCTTGTTGCACGAGGGATAAGGGATGGCTCAAAATAGCGTGTTATTATGAAATCTGGTGCTGTGTAGATGCGCCAAATTTCAGAATAAGCTATTTTGAAATAGATTTGAAATAAGATATGCAATTTGCATAGTGCAAATTGTGTATCTTATTTTGAGTTTAGGATGTTGTGTAGACACACCCTAAGGG